CAGGAACTGCCGCCACTTTACACCCTCAACACAATCCCTGTAACGGAGGATGACATTCCCACAGTTGATGACGTTCGTAGATGGCCGTACCTGCTAGAGAGCGGGGTGACAGTCTCAGATGAGGCGTCTCTTCCAGTCGGGCTCCTCATCGGCGGCAACGCCGCAGTAGTGATGGAGCCGTTGAGGTTTGTGAAGGGGGAAGATGGCGGACCATACGCCACTCTAACCAGGTTCGGGTGGATCCTCGGCGGTCTGAAGAACGTGAGCAGCAGATGTCGAGTGAACCGCATCAAAATCAACGAGAACGACCCAATGGCTGAAGAGTGGTTCGAAAACCGAGCTGAAGTAAGGAGAGGACTCTCGGTAGAGGACGTGAAGTGGTGCACTCTCATGGAACACGGTTGTGTCAAGAAGGAGAAGTATGAGATTGTGCTGCCATTTCGAGACCAGGAGCCTCGTCTGGAGAACAACCGAAGTGTGGCAGAAAGGCGCCTGGAGCTGCTGAAAAAGAAGTTTGAAAGGGACAAAGAGTACGCAGAGGAATACACCACTCGGATGAACAAGCTCCTGGAAGATGGACACGCTGAAGCGGCACCAGAAGCTCGAGAAGACTCAGGGAGATGGTACCTCCCCCACTTCGCGGTCAGACATCCGACGAAGGAGACCCTCCGTGTTGTCTTCGATTGCGCGAGCAAATACCGTGGCACCAGCCTCAACGACACGCTGCTGCAGGGACCAGACCTGACCACACCGCTGGTGGACGTGCTGCTTCGCTTCCGTCAAAACCCTTGCGCCTTTACAGGTGACATTGAAGCAATGTTCCTGCAGGTCTCTGTTCCCGAGTCTCAGAGGGACTATCTGAGGTTCCTGTGGTGGCCCGAAGGTGTTATCAGCAATCCTCCTTGTGAGTACAGGATGAAGGTTCACTTGTTCGGCGCAACATCTTCTCCGAGCTGTGCCAACTTCGCGCTCCATCGTACAGCTGAAGATAACGACTCCCTGTCAAGAGAAGCCAGTGAAACGATCCGGAACAACTTCTACGTAGACGATGTTCTGAAGTCCGTCAAGGATGAAGAGACAGCGATCAAGCTGATGAAGGACCTGAAGGCGATGTGCGCGCTGGGAGGCTTCAATCTGACGAAGTTTAACAGCAACAGCATCGAAGTCCTTCAGTCAGTACCTAAACAAGACAGAAGCAAGCAGGTTAAGGATCTGACGCTCGGATCTGACCCCCTACCTACGGAACGAGCTCTCGGCGTCGTTTGGGATCCAAACACGGACACCATCGGCTTCAACGTAGACATGCAGAAGCTGACGCGGAAGACAGCCACCAAACGAGGGTATCTGTCTGCAGCCGCGTCCTGCTATGATCCTCTCGGTCTGGCAGCTCCCTGTGTCGTCAGAGCGCGAGTGATCATTCAGAAGCTGCACCGTCTTGCGGTGGGATGGGACGACAAGGTGCCGGAGAGCCTGAGAAGAGAATGGGGGAGATGGTTGACTGACCTGCGCAACCTGTCCCTTCTGAAGATACCAAGGTGTCTGTCACCGTTGGGACTGGACGCGGCGCTTGATGCTGGGGACACGATTCAACTTCATCACTTCGCTGATGCCAGTTCGTCAGCGTACGGTGTCGTCTCGTACGTGCGCTGTGTTGGTGACCACTCCAGCTGCACGCTTCTTTTCAGCCGGGCTCGACTTGCGCCGATGAAGCAGCTCAGCGTGCCGCGTCTGGAGTTAGCGGCAGCGACGCTCGCCGTGAAGAGTAGCCTGGAACTGCAGAGAGCGCTGGAAGTGGACGCCGATATATATTTCTGGACGGACAGTACCACCGTCTTGAAATACATCAAGAACGAGAAGACGAGATTTCATGTGTTTGTCGCAAACCGCCTTGCGGTCATCCACGATGGTTCCACGGCCGCGCAGTGGCACTACGTGCCAAGTGAGTCAAATCCAGCCGACCTCGTATCGCGCGGAATGAACGCCTCCTCTCTGATTCACAGCGATCTCTGGAGATTTGGACCCAGCTTCCTGAACGGGAAGGATCAGGAGTGGCCTGCAAACCCTGCCGAAGACGCTGTGAGCGAGGCCGATCCGGAGGTGAAGGCTGTTGTCATGACCACGACATGCAAAGATACCTCTCCTATCGAGAAGCTGACCCAGTACTACTCATCATGGAGACGTCTGGTCAGAGCCGTGGCACTGCTCCGCCGGCTGGTGCTGCGGTGGAAAAAGAGCGCGCCTCAGGATGTGAAGACTACGGCGCGTCTGACTGTATCGGACCTGGAGGCGGCAGAGAGCTGCATCCTCAAAGACGTACAAGCTAGACATTTCAGTCAGGAACTCTCCGACTTGAAGTCCGGCAAGCCTGTGAGCACTTCGAGCTCTCTGGTGCGCTTGGACCCATGGCTGGAGGGAGACACGCTTCGAGTTGGTGGACGACTCAGGAACAGTGCTCTGCCATTTGACTCGAAGTTTCCCAAGATCCTTCCGGGACGAGACCCTGTGGTGGACATGCTCATCACTGCAGCTCATCAAAACGCCGGACATGAAGGCAGGCAACACGTCCTGTCTGATCTGAGAGCGTCGTACTGGATCGTGGGCGCCAACACCGCGGTGCGTCGCTGTCTCAACCGCTGCATCAGCTGCAAAAAGAGACAGAAGCAGACAGAGCATCAGAAGATGGCCGATCTTCCTGAAACGAGACTGGGCGTGGGCGACAAGGCTTTCACCCACACGGGAGTCGATTACTTCGGCCCTTTTTTCGTCAAGCAAGGTCGCTCACAGGTGAAGAAGTACGGCGTGGTATTTACGTGCTTGGCAATCCGCGCGGTTCACCTCGAAGTCGCTGATGATTTGTCCACAGATTCTTTTCTGTGTGCCCTGCGACGCTTTGTGGCGCGGCGCGGCGGCGTCCGATCCCTTCGATCGGATCAAGGGACGAACTTCATCGGAGCGGAAAAGGAATTAAAAGAAGAAGTCAACAAACTGAAGCAGCACGAAGGTGAAATCCACGAAGCAGCTCTCCGCCTCGGCATCGACTGGCGCTTCCATCCTCCCCACGCCTCTCACTTTGGCGGTGTTTGGGAGCGTCAGATACGCACCATCAGGAAGCTGCTCAACGCTCTGCTGACACAACAGACGTTCTCACTTCAGACTTTGCAGACACTCCTGTGCGAGGTGGAAGCGATCATCAATAACCGCCCGCTGACACCCGTATCAGCTGATGCGCATGACCAACCCCCACTAACTCCAAATCATCTCCTCCTCCTTCGCAGTGTCGTATTCCCTCCTTCAAGCACAGAGTGGGATCATCACAGGAGCTGGAAGCAGGCCGGCTACCTCGCCGATCTGTTTTGGCGTCGATGGAGGACGGAGTATCTCCCTCTGCTGCAAGAGCGGAGCGGACGCGCAACAAGAAGTCGAGACAACGTGAAGAAAGGAGACATCGTCCTGATGGTCGACGACTCTGTACCGCGTGGAGTGTGGCCGCTGGGCCGAGTCGAAGAGGCCATCGTGAGCGCTGACGGCCGAGTGCGCTCTGTCCGAGTTCGCGCACGCGGTACATCGTACTACAGACCGGTCACTAAAATCGTCAAGATCCTCGACGAGAGTAACCCAAGACGAGAGTGAAAGGAAAACGAAGGAACAAGACTGGAAGAGTTGAGAGTCAAGTTGTGACTCAAGAAGAGTTGCGTGTTACGAAGAAGTTTATTTGTTTTGATGCTCACTTGCAAGCATCAAAAAGGGGAGGGTGTAAGTGCCTTTCCTGACGCCTTCCTACCTACCTGCTTCCTTTTCGCGATCGGCGCGACATCTGCAGAGTAGTGTCTTTGGTCGTCGCTAGATGGCACTGCTGTTGTGTTCGCCAGCTGACCGATAGTGGTGGGGTGGTGGTCAAATTCGAAGTAGATATTCGATGTGAGAACTATTTGAGTTGTTGATCAGCTGTTTCGGTTTTTTGGGACACGTATGACGTGGAAGAATGGCGGTCAGACCAGATTTTGTTGCTCTGTTCCGATGTGGCGAGTGAGGACACAAATCTTGGTAAGAAGATGTATCTTGAATGTAATATGCAGGTATTGATATGCCAAACTCGTTGAGCGCAATATGTTTTGTGTCTTTTCGTGGTGGCTTGTGATAATTGCCATGCTGGTGAACATTTGTGTATTTTGAGACAAATGTAGCGCGGAGGTTTGATGGATATATTATGTTTATTTTTCTGTGTTTGACGACTGTTCTTGATTTAGTTGTTTATTTATTTGCTGGTGTTTTCGCAGATACCATTCATTCAGTCATTCATTGATTTCACCTGGCAACAATAAATTGCTGGACTGACTGGATGCGTGATCAGAGTTTCTTCGGATCGCTACATGGGGCGGATGCAGCAATAGTTATAGTAAGCTGCCGAGTCCAATAATATCGAACCCGACCTCCTAAGATGAGTCTCCTCTTGAACTGGCCGGATTTGACCTTTTATTGGCCTTAGGTCAGTGCACATCAGCTTTTTATAACAACGGTTAATCAAGCAATGTAGCTGGATATCACAAACGTACGGCACCAAAATCGCATGTTGACCTGGGACCGGTCATCTGACCTTGCATGTCACCAGGTGACCTGATAACTTTTAGTTCGGTACCAGCCATTCGTGTTCTGGTCTACTCGTATTTCTTCTGCACGTCGGCAATAAATACAACCGAAACGGCTTTGGCAGTGGATTATACCGCTGTTTCCCATTGACTTTGTTGAAAAACAACGGACTTGGTGAAGGTCAAATTCCAACTTGTCCATTTTGGAGACAGATATTACATAAAAAATGCGTTGCAGGTGGCAGGTAGGCGGCTTTTTATCACTCTCGCTGCTCTTTATGACAAAACGCCAAGCGTTACGGGCCAGTTATTAGAGCAAGGATGTGTAGCTATCCCTTCTACTAGCGTGGCCCCTCGACACCCATCTCATTACCTCCAATGCCATTGTTTCGCACACGCCTCAAACAGAGCAACTCACGTCGATATAACAATGTATTACAGCACAATGGACAATACAGTTTTATCACAACAACGCGAGCCGAGATTTCGAGACAGGCCGCTGCCGCCGCGACGGGACGGCGTGACTTGACATGAGTACAGACTGAGTGATGAGGATGGTCGGAGGGCCGGCTGGGACGCCGCTCTAGAAGGCCTGGGGCGCCACGGGCAGGTCGTCGCCCTCGAAGTGGATGCCGGTCTCATCGGTGTAGTACCGCCGGGTCGTGAAGGTGCCGTCGGGGTTCGGGAACCTGCGGAAAAATGAAACTTGTTAGAATAGTCTGTAGGTGGACGGTGTCACAAGGGTTGGGGAGATCGGACAGATGTTCCACATTGTCGTCTGCACATAACTGAAGCTGGTAATGAACTGTTTTGTCAATGGATGAACTGTAGCGGAGCTTGAAACGACGCTGGAGCTCATTTAGTCGCACCGATTTGCATCGAAGCATCAAGATTTGCAAGAAGCTCCAACTTCTCTCATTGGAGCCCAAGGTAGTTGAGCTAGGAAGGTGTAGCACAATCGGGCTACGAGGAACTCATTTGTCTATTGCAGCTATCGCAACGCATAATGATTCGCGTTCGCATCACATGCCAAAGTCCGGCGACTCACTTGAACTCGCCGGTGTAGAAGGGCACCAGACGGAACTCCTCGTCTCCGTTCTCGTTGATGACGCGCACCTCCTGCAGCCGGATCTCCTCCTGGCGCTCGATGCCGTTGGTGGCCGTGAACGAGTGCACGTTGCCGCCGTCCTGGGTCTGCTCGTTCTGGTAGCTGGTGATCTCGGCGTTACGGTCGCGGTCGCGCAGGGCCTCCAGCTCGGGGTCGGCGGAGAACTCCTGAGGCCGGGCGAGGGCCACGGCCGCCAAACACGCCACAACGATCTGCAGGGGAGCGGGGCGCTCGGTCAGCTTCTGAAAACTCGCACACTTACTGTGTGTAATTTTGAAGTTGGTAGACAGCTGCTACAGAACATTGTGACATTTGATCGCCCTTAGTGCATTCGCTGTATACTGAAGCATCCAGAGCCCCTTCACTAGTAAATCACGCTTGATTGGGTTTTGTCCAACCTGTCCTCCCACTTGTCGTATAAGATAGGCAGGCCTACCAAGTCTGTACAGACCACCCAGTCAATGAACCAGCTGAGATAAAAGTGAATGCTGTGCTTTGGTCTAATGTGCTTACGTGGAACATAGTATTACAAAATAACTTAGACATATATGGCAGCAGATAATTGCTCTATAAGCTGAGTTCGCTCATATTAGTGTTACCATGCGTTACGTTCATTATGAACAAGCGCAAGCAGTACAACTATGGGTGCCCCATGGTTCCCATGAAATTCAACTGAAAATGTTTCTTAGGTTAGTGCTGCAGGCAACAAGGATTCGCAATTAGAATATTACAAGGTTTCTGGTGCCAAAGTATCCGAAGAGATAAGCAATGCAATCTGTTTTGCTCTAATGCAATGTAAAAGAGAATAACACTTGCTTGTTATTAGAACAGCTCCTGAAGTTATAAATTTTACACACTTCGAGAACCTACCAAAACTTTCCGAAAGCAGCAAGCATAAGTGAGCCAACTGGAACATGTTGGTGGTGGTGGTGGTGGTGGGGGGGGGGATCTTTACGAACGAAATGAGCATATTATTTTATGCGTGCTATTAGCATATTGAAGCGTCTGATCGCACTGACACCTCTGACACATTGAGATCTCAGCACTTACCAGCTTCATGACTTGAGACGGTGAGAATATCACACAAGCACACACACTGTCCGATCCGTGATGGCACTGCCCCTCTGACCACGGGTGGGGCCTTTATACGTGGGACGGCGCCGGGACGGGACGAGCCGGGCCGAGCGCCCTCCACACCGCCCCGCTGGCGGTCAGACGCACCTTTCACCTCCGCCCTGTGATGTCGCCGCCGGCGCCGCCTCAGCCCAGAAGATTGGCTTTCGGGACGCTTCCAGGGTCACCGGGGCAGGGCACCGGCTGGTGTCAGCTGTGACCCATTCACAATTCAGGGGAACTGGTATAGGACTTACCTCCCATAGCGACAGGTCACGCAATATTGCACCGATCTGTATCAACATTTCTTCCTAACTTATGTATGATTGCATGTGTGCATCCATGTATGAATAAATGCACCACAGGTTCACCCCTCGACAAGGTTGTGATGCGAATGCCCGATTAGAAATGAAAACAGCGCTCACGGCCACGGGTACATAATACACGAAACATCATATGTTGAGGTCGTACAAAGTGGTCATTTGAGGTGACTTAGTTAGGGACATAACCCGCGCGACGACGGGGGAGGGGGTGGTTACCCACCTCCTGAGATTTTCGTTTTAGAGATAAAGACAAATTACGAGCACGGTTGTGTAGAGTTTGACCTAGATAAAAATATAAAAATAGTTTTGGTGACCTGAGGTCAGAAGTCAGGTCAACGACCCCTAAATGTGGTTTTAGTTTTTCGCAAATAACTTCGACAAAATGGTCCTAGAGCTACGCCAGTGGTACCACCGTATTCGCCTTGTCAAGCAGCGTCGAATGATATATAATTATATTTGGTTTGGAAAAGGTCAAACTTTATGTTGACCTCATGTGACCTCGAATGACCTTTCGTTGACCTTGACACATGAAAGGTCGTTTATGATGAATTTGTACCCGCTGATCACGAATATGGCATCTATTTTCCTCTAAGCCTTCATTTACAGCTTCCGGATGGCAAAATTGTCTTATTTATTATTACTAACTTGAATCAGTGAAATAGCCTCTAGCAAGGATACTCTTCTGTGACCTTGACCTTTGAGCAGCCTTGTATCGTAAGATGAACGACAAATAGGGAACTGATAAGCCTCAAAACATTTCAAATCATTTTGGAAGATAGCACGCAAGATGTACGAAAAAGTGCAAAGTTTGAGGTCAATTTTGGGCGTGAATTTGACCTTGACCTTTGATTTTGAGCACCTTCTTAGAATCCTCAGATTCTCTTCTTTCGTTTGACTTCCAATTTTGCCAGTTTGATGCATCCTGCCGTCCTCTAGAAGGCTTACTCGCGGGCCAGGGGGGAGGGGCGTTTTTCGCCCCCCCCCCCCTGGCGAATATTTGCGATAGCTCCCGAACGCTTAGGGATAGGAAAGCGAACCTTTCAGTACCTTTTCTCCCATCAATTTGACATCTTCTGAAGTAAAAAATTTGGACCTAGCCCCCTTGATGACGTCACAAGGTCCATTTTTCTAGACCCCTGCACGGCAAACTTCGGCGTCACAGACGCAAACTTCAAATAGCTGTTAAAAATAGAGTTTTAGAGATAAAGACAAATTACGAGCACGGTTATGTAGCGTTTGACCTAGAGAAAAATAGAAAAATAGTTTTGGTGACCTGAGGTCAGAGGTCAGGTCAACGACCCCGAAATGTGGTTTTAGTTTTTCGCAAATAACTTCGACAAAAATGGTCCTAGAGCTACGGCAGTGGTACCATCGCATTCGCCTTGTCAAGCCGCGTCGAATGATATATATTTTGTTCGGAAAGAGTCAAATTTTATGTTGACCTCATGTGACCTCGAATGACCTCTGGTTGACCTTGACACAGGAAAGGTCGTTTATGATGGATTTGTACCCGCTGATCACGAATCTGGCGTTTATTTTCATCTAAGCCTTCATTTAGAGCTTCCGGATGGCAAAATTGTCTTATTTATTATTACTAGCTTGAATTAGTGAAATAGCCTCTAGCAGGGATACTCTTCAGTGACCTTGACCTTTAAGCAGCCTTGTATCGTAAGAGGAACCACAAATAGGGAACTGATAAGCCTAAAAACATTTCAAAACATCTTGAAAGTTAGCACGCAAGATGTGCGAAAAAGTGCCAAGTTTGAGGTCAATTTTGAGCGTGACCTTGACCTTGACCTTTGGTTTTGAGCACATTTTCGGAATCCTCAGATTCTCTTCTTTCGTTTGACACCCAATTTTGCCGGTTTGATGCCGCCTGCCGTCCTCTAGAAGGCTTACTTTGAGATCACTACACATGTGCCGGTTTTTGCCTTTGACCTTGACCTCTGACCTTGAAAATTGACCTGAGGTCAAAAATTTTAGGTTCTTTAGAATCGTCTCGTAAGGACCTTTCGTTTGGTAGGTATCGCTTTTGTTTCCGTAGCTCCCTTATTTACGGAGTTAGACAGGGGGGGGGGGCGAAAAACGCCCCCCCGGGCTGCGGTGGTTGGGATTACCCCCCGGGCCCGGCCGGGCTAGTGATCACTACACATGTGCTGGTTTTGCCTTTGACCTTGACCTCTGACCTTGAAAATTGTCTTGAGGTCAAAAATTTTAGGTGCCTTAGAATCCTCTTGTAAGGAATTTTCGTTTGGTATCGCTTTTGTTTCCGTAGCTCCCTTATTTACGGAGTTAGACAGGGGGGGGCGAAAAACGCCCCCCGGGCTGCGGTGGTTGGGACTACCCCCGGGCCCAGCCGGGTTAAAAGGCTACAAAACTGCTATCTCCGAAATAAAAAATGGATTTTGACCCCAAAAATCAAAACTTATTTTTTTTTTTTAACCCTCGCCCCGTTGGGGGGGGGGCATTTTGGCCCCCCCCCTGTGGTTTTTCCTGAATAGCAAAAAACGGCGGCGCGCAGCGCCGCCAAATTTTCAGTACCTTCCCGGGCATCAATTTGACACCTTCACACCAAATTTCAAGTCTTAGGTCACCTTAGGTCAGGAGTTATTGAGGTCAAACTGAGGTCATGTTCGAGCAAAAATGAGCAAAAAACATGCAATCTTGAAACGCTCACCAAATCTACAGTTATCAAACAATTTCAAAGTTCTTTATATGGTCTAGTAGACAAAAAGCGGCGCTACAAAACTGCTATCTCGGATTTTCAAAATTTTTGGTTTTTGACCAAAAAAAAATTCAAAAAATTGATTTTTTTAGAAAAACTTTGAAAAAATCCAAAATTTTTCCGAATTTCGAAAAAACCGGAATATATGTGATAGTCCCAGCGCTCTTCTATATACATACCAAATTTCAGATCGATATCTCGTTTTTTGGCCAAGTTATAGCGAAAAAACTGTTCAAAAATTATGACGTCAAATTTTTGAACTCAATTTTTAGCAATTTTAGACCACGTACGGCAAAACAAAGACCACCATTGAACTCCCCGTGACAAGCTGCATCGAATCGATACCCATTTTATTCAAAAATATCAACTTTGAAATTTGACCTCATTTGACCTGACCTTGACCTGACCTTGACCTGACCTTGACCTGACCTTGACCTGACCTTGACGAAAACGTGATCTAAGCTGGCCCCAAAGGCTGCCTGACCCATATAATCGCATTTGTCATGTAAAATGGACCATAAAACATGTATCACACGACACTTTCATATTGTGACCCCCCCGTGACCTGACCTCTGTGACCTGACCTGGTATCAGTGACCTCAAATAGCAAAATATGTGTTTGAAGAACATTTCCCCATCGATGATTTTCAATGAAATGCATTTTACTCGATTTTACAACGCATTTCTTGAAGTGCCTGTAAACGGCGAAAATTGGACCTTTGACCTGACCTGTGACGTCATCGGTTTGACCTAGGTCAATAAAATTGGGTCACAAGGTAGTTCCCCGTTGGGGCTATCCAACGCCGTTTACCGCTTGTCGCTATGCTGCGTGGTTCTCGAGATCTTAGGGGGGGGGGCCAAAATGCCCCCCCCCCCCAACCGGGCGCGTTGCTCGGCAGAGCCCAACGGGGCGCGGGTTAATATAATAGGCAACAAAACCAAAAAGTTTCTTTAATTTCGAAAAAACGGAATACCTATATATGTGATAGTCTCTACCGCCTTCTATCCACATACCAAATTTGAGATCGCTACCTCTTTTTGGCCAAGTTATAGCGAAAAAAAAAAAAACTGTTCAAAATTGATGACGTGAAATTTTCAAACTCAATTTTTTAGCAATTCTAGACCACGTAGCGCGAAACAAAGACCACTATAAGACTTGCCGTGATGAGCATGCATCGACACAACACCCATTTTATGCAAAACTATCAACTTTTAAATTTGACCTTTTTGGCCTGACATTGACCTGACTTCCACCTGAAGAAAAGGTCAACTTCAAATTTGATCTCAGGTCAATGGCACAAAAAGGTCATGATGCATAGCAGTCGATTGGTATCGTTCATTTCAGCGCAGCTAAAGTGTTTTCATTGCCCTAGCATGTCTCTACGTAAAGTTATTGTAAAAAAAACCTGCTGGAGACCTTAATTACCTGATATTAATTATTAACTCATGGGTTTACGTAGTTGTCTCGGGTGCAATTATTCACTTCAGTGTGTCATATTTAGGTGCCTGTATCCTGATCTCTGAGAAAGTTTAGTACTACCTTCGTGCAAAAGAAGAGCAATTCAATCTTCTCAAAGTGACTTATTACGGAGCGAGCGAAGCGAGCGGAGTCTTACGTACAGGGTGATTTTTTTTAACTGTTAAAAAGTAAACGTCAATGGTGGTCCCTAAATCGAAAAATCTTGTGCAAAAAAGCAATGCACGTGATAGATAAATCTGGGACATTTTGTATGGTGTCATGATTTGTCTCTTTCAACCGAAGGCCTCGGCCCCAATGGAGCCTGAAAATGTCCCACCAATCGGGCACGCATGGTCCACCGCCGTTCAGTAAGGAACGACACAAAACGATGATTTTGAAGCATTGAGGCAGTTCGAAGCATACGATCATCAAGGGGATACCTCAGAAAGACGTTAAATAATGCAGGAACAAGCTTGTAGTCATAAATGACCTTCAAACGGTCCATCTGGCGTATGTGCAACCTCTGAAGAATCAGTCTTCAGGGAGAAACAAAAAACAGCGAATCAGAC